GCTATAACAAAGATTAATCTAAATTTAATTAATACAGTGAACACTATGCAGTGTTATTTTACACTTAATTATTAAATTTCTGTACCTAAATACTATTTATTTTATCTATGCTTGTAAATTGTGTATTTGTTCTTTTTTCCCCCTTTTTCTTTCTTTTTTTTTAGTGACTGTTCACTTGCCTTTAATCATGTTTGAACTTTCTCAGACTATAGTTTTTGCTGTGGTATATGAAGAAGTACTTAAAGTGTATGGAAAGCAAAGTTACAATGATATAAAATTAGTGTCATTCATTTTTTGTCATTCACATTGATGTTAAAATGACGTTTTCTGATTTGTGACATTACTTTTTATGTACTGCTAAAACACTGCTGGTCACTTTCAGAAGTTGTAGTGATGCTTTCTTTTCCAAGAAAGAATGTGAAACAAATTGGTTACATAATTTTCATTTTTGAATATTTTAAAATATAATTTAAATAGATTTTTCACACTTTAAGCAATATCGTATTGCATATCGAATATCACATTTTTTAACAAGGTATCGCGTATCGCATTTTTTTTCAATATCGCACAGCCCTACCATTAATCAACAGAAAAACATCATAAAAACATGATTTCTGTATGAATCTGAGCCAGAATACAACAATTTTTTCAATTTTCAGCCCATTTTCACGTCACATGACATTATTTGATGCCTAATCCTGATTTTAAGGTCAGAATTATGTCCAGAGGCAGAAGAAAATGCAAACATGATCCTGATACCGTCTGCTGTTTTTTGTTTTGCTGCATCCAAACAGCCACAAGCTTTTGTGAAAAAAGCTTATTTATTAGTAAATCTGTTCTTTGACATTAAATTGAGTATTTGAACATATTTTCCACTCGTTCGCAGATTGTAAGTTGAATTATGTATTTTGAAATCATCTTTTTGTCATGCAAAACCAAATCTTTTGACATTTGACTGCTTTTTATTTTGATAAGTGCATTAAAGCTCATATGTAAATACAATTTGAAAAATCTTCATTTTTTATTTTGTGAAAAAAATGTACATGATGGAAAGTTTTTATTGATATTTTTGAACCCAGCATCATCAATGTTAGGCCTTTTTTTGTGAATCAGCAGATGTTTGTTGTTTGTGACGGTGAGGAAATTTTCCCACCGGTTAATCGACGTGTGACAACACCGGTAATATTCAAGTTTTATTTGTACAGCACTTACGCCGGTAATACCGGTATCACCGCGGAGGCGTTCCCTCTTTTCCTCGCTTTCCTTCGCTTTGAAATAGCTTGTAAAAGCTGCGTGCGCATTTTACTTTCACTTTCAAATAGCGGCACGCGGGGGGCAAGTGACGTAACCGGTGTTGCGGCTTAACACCGGTATCACCGTCAGCACCGTCTAACACAGCAAGCCTAGAGTGAATCCCATTAATTTGCTTTATAGACGCGGTTCGCATTGTCATGAAGAAAACCTCTGAATATTAGGAAAAGTAATTGAAATTTCAATAGGGAATATATAATTTATTTCTCATTCTCTGGTGGTTCTTTTAAATGAATCATCTATTGTTTTTTTTGTATTAGATACATTTATGCATTAGATAGTATAATGTTTAATTGTTTTAATATCAATGTTAAGAAAACAGATTTGTAGAAATCCATATTCAATAATCACAAACAACTGGACAGTCATGAAAATTAATTTATGAAAATCTGTGGGAAGCCCCGGTACAAGTCTAAAAGTCATTGATTAACAGATGTACTTGTTTTTTATTTTGCCTGAAGTAACAAAACAAAGAGATCCGGAGTGCGGTCAGCAGAGTCTGCTTTTCCAGGTAAAGCCAGTCCTTTCTGTCTGACTTTGAGAAGCTGTATGTTTTGGTTGGTCCTGAGATCTGACATCCGTCTGAAAGTTGAATGCTTTTCTTGTGATTTTGATCAGCGAACCTAATAAATGCTGTCCTTGTGTTCAAGATTGATTACCCAGAGATAGCAGAAGGTATCGGGCCGAGGCATCGCTTCATGTCAGCGTATGAGCAGAGAATCGAACCTCCGGACCGTCGCTGGCAGTATCTGCTGTTCGCAGCCGAGCCGTATGAAACCATCGCATTCAAGGTCTGTTGACTAAACATCTAATGCTCTCATACTTCAAGATCTTTTGAGGAGCGTTTGTTTCCAGAAGCTTTACTTTCACTGTTCCTCAGCGGAGGAATGATCTTCAA